GTAGAGGAGATTTTTTATGGTTCAAAATACGTAACAATATCAAAATAATAATAATAATAATAATAATAATAATAATACTTAATAAAGAAACGTACGGCTAGCCAAAAGTTCTAGCCGTACGTGAGTCACGAACGACTAGCCAGGACGCACTGTACGTATTGTCTAGCCGTACGGCACTTTTCAAAATTATATGGAAGTTGAACGTTATAAAATTGTTGATTTTCATGCTTATCATTTTTTGTTTTATTTGTATGAATTATTAAATCATTTTTGTTAATTTTAAGCACATGGGTCGAATAAAAAATGATCGAAGTGGAATAAATAAATAAAAAGATCATTGAATGAAAAAAAACGGTGAAATGCAAAAATAATTATATAATTTTCAAAAGAGTAGATAAATATCGAATATAAAAGCACAGTCAATCAATTAATTAGCCTTAATTAAAACCTATCCAGGGACTGACAATAGAATTTTAGTATGCCTTTCACGGAACATGCAAACTTTCCTTGATGGACAAACTTCTATACAGTACCGTCGGTAATTGTCGCAATTATCAAGAGCCTAACAACAATCATTTTCAGTGTTTGTTGTTGTTTTTTTTTCATATAAAAGGTGTCGAAAATTAAACTTAATGAAACAAAAAAGGATTATTATCAAAATTTTGTAAACTATTTCAATTGGTGTAAATGCAAGCAAAGGCTATTTTTTCTCGACATCTTGCGATGACAAAGATCGATATATATAGCGATCAAGGCGATTAATCTCTAAAAAGTTAACATCCAAAGACAATTAATGCTGTTTCTTGGTTAAAATCCTCGCTTAAAGTCATAAAATAACAATTGCATTTTCGACTTCCATAAGATTTTGAAAAGCGCCGTACGGCTAGCCAATACAGCGAATCCTTGCTAGTCGTACGTGTCACGTACTGTTAAAACTTTTGGCTAGCCGTACGGGCCCGTACGATAGCCACTTCCATTATAAAAACCCTCCTAAATCGTATATGTTATAATTGATGTACACATTTCAAAAATATAAGCAACTCTTTTGAAAAGTAAAATGTTAACATCTGTCAACGTATGATGCTGCGCATCGTAATCATAGCCTAATATTAACTGCAGGCAAATCATTTTTATTGGCTGCTCAAAAATCTAATTTGCATAATTTATTCACACAATTGCTGGTTCTTACTACTTATGTCTAATACTGCGCATTGTCCATTTTAATTGTTCCTAATTTGCACCAAATGCTCCTGTCACACTGTGTACTGACGATTTTTATTGCTCCTTGTATGCCTCTGTGCCGACAGACCTTTTGATCATGCACAATGTTGCCCTGATTGGTTAATCACCCTTGTCAAATATTCTTATGACGAAATAGACATCTATTTTTTTACGCTTCATCAGTGAACTGAATGACCTTAGGGGGAATTAGGTTCCACACCTGTCAAATTATACTGTAGTAAATTACAGCGCGTCATAACATAGCAACACATTTTTTCAGTTATCAATAATCATTTGAAATTTTAAGTAGATTTATGATTTTTTGTGTTATTGGATTAAATTTACGGTAGTAGTAATGCGTATCTGTCGGGAAAGTAATTTGGTAAGTAGATAACGTGGAAAAAAGCTTTAGGGAGCTGGATAAACCCGAGAATATGCGTAATTATAGGGGAATGGGCAACATGTTGCTGTTGGTACCAGTTTTGACTGGGTGCCTAAATTACCTATCTTTGGACAGCTTGTCTAGCGAAAATCAAGTACAAAATAAAAGGAAATATCGTCAATTTGAAGAAGTTTCTCATAGTACCCAAAGTAAATTTATGGTTTATGTTTGAAAATTAAGCAGTCATTGCTTAAATCATGTGGTGGGATCATCAGCAAGCTTGAATATCGGACAAATGATAATTAATGTCGCGGCGTCTTCAATAAAATCATTAAATTAATTAATTAAAGCAATTCAGTTCCATATGATGTTTTCATAAATAATATATAATGTACGCAATAAAATTAATAAGTTCTTCGTCAAGATATATTTCAGTTGTACCAGCGTGTACACCTATACCGGAAGTGGGTATAACACGTCACAATCTCGGTCTCGTCTGTCTCGCGAGAATGACATAACGCCAAAATGGCGGCGCCCATGAACTTATTTCTCAAGTAAAAAATAGTGTCTTAAAACACGAATTTCTCTCTTATAGGGTTGATGTCAATAGGAAAACTGCCATGGTTCCTCTTTTTAAATGATGATTATTTATATTAGACAGACATCAATCCATCCATTCCTATTCCTTTAAGACTTGATGGTATACGGTATTTTTTTCATATACGTAAAAATTGTTTGAAAATCAGTTTTATCGTTGTAACAGATGTCCAATTCATGTATAAATATTATGGGGAAGTCAAAGACGGGATCGGGAAGCGGGCCCCAGCTTTGGCTTGCCCTGCAATAGACTACATGTGTATATTTAAAAGGAAATTAAATAGAAAGCAATCAAAACATATAAAGAATTCTATACCTATCAATGAAATTTTTAGTGCAAGTTCTAGTTGGGCGCCGCCATTTTCAAAGTAACACAATCATAATAAGCCAGGTATTCCTATAACAGACAATCGCAACTTTTCGGTTAAATAATGATTATCGAGTGTACCGAGTGAAAACAGAAGCATGCATGAAATACCGAATGACACCTTTAAAACGTAATAATAAAAGATCTTTTAACTGCCTTCCCTGTTCATAGGCTTTGCCTAATTAAATATTAAAATATTTTTGATAGTGTTTACAGGGGTGTATTACGTTGGGGGGGACAGAATCTGACCCCCAAGAAGTTCTGGCTTCCATAACTTCATATGTCGCTTTTATTTTGACATTGTGCGACAGAACAGATTTAGCAGTACTATAAAACCTGTTCGCTGAAGTCTCTTTAGATAACCCCCAAGCGTCTGTGATACATTGGGCTAAGATAATATCTCCAGTTTTAAGACAAGTAAAATGGTTTCCTGCGGGGAACATTTTTAATGATAAAAAGATATTTCATTTAACTATTTTCAACATTTTTTTTTGTTTTTTTTTTTTTGGGGGGGGGGGGGGGGGGGGGGTAAATAAACGTTTGTATCAGGAATATAGTTAACAATAATCGATCAATTAGAAGAAGGTCTTTGGAAAGTGGTGACCGTTGAAGACCGGAGAAGGCCGAAGATAAAACAATTATTTCTTTTTAAGAAAATGATTAAATAGGCCTACCATTTTATGAATAATTCCGCGTAAAAATAAATAAAGTAAACACACAAGTTTACGCAGAAAATATCTCTATTTATTATGGCAGATGCCACTACGAATATTTTAATTTTGTAGATTTTCAGTATTTGTAAAATTTGAGATAGATTTTAAAGAAACATTGATAATTTTCAAAAACATCATTCAAGTTTTTGCAACCTAAACGGTAAAATAATTATAGAAAATTAGAAATATCACGTTATAGTTTATTGTTCTTAATTAGGTGTAGTTCGGACTAATTCCCTAGAGGTAAATCCGTAACGTATCGGCAAACGGTATTTAGCTTGGTTTTCGAAAAGGTCAATTAACCAATCATTAACGGTTTACAGATCACATGCTCCTCCATGTACTGAAAACAGGACACGTGCTCCTCCATGCCTCAAAAGTTAAACGCGTACCAATACCCTGCGGTCTCCAGACCGCAGGGAATAATTCAAAGGCATTTCAGTGCTAAGGAATATAATGTTAAGAATACTGGTCAGGGACCATCAACCGGACACTTTTTTAAAATTTTTCCATCCATGTTCATAATTGACAACCCAGAGATCTAAAATTTTCACACAGTACAGCTAGGTTTTTCTCCTAACTAACAAACTAGTTTTCCTCCTTTCTATTATGGTACATCAGCTTTTATCGTTATCTTGCAATTCGAAAAGTTGCGATGTTTTCAAAACCATCACCTAGCAGGTACTGGCGTTACCGTAAAGCTCGCTTAGCGAGCAGGCCCTTCGGGCCAGCTCGTCATGCTCGCTATTACCATTAACAGAGGTTGAAATAAATTTATTTATTAATTATAGAATGAACATGCATTTATTGTTGATAAAAAAATGACTGACAACCACTGAGCAAAGAAAATACTAAATTAAGCATTTTCGGGGACATCCGGGTTTGGTGGTTGTCCGGTTTTGGTGGTCCCTAGTCCTTCATTGAAAGACATCGCATTTTCTTTTTTTACATTTTGACGTTTATCGGAAAATGCGAAGTCTTTCCATAATTGGCTAATTTCCCATAGCACAAATCGACACGCTTCTCGAGTCGATTTGAATTTACCGGTAAATCACAACTTAAATGTTTTTTATCACAAAAAGCAATTGATTGCATAAAAGACGGAAGCATATTTTCCCAAAACCTGTAAAAATATGCAATAATTACTCACGATAAGTAGTTTATTTATCCATATATTTTAGAAGACACATGAAAGACAGTTTGCGGTGACCCCCATATTGGAAATTCCCGGTCATGCTGTGACGTCATTCAAAAAACAATAGTACGAAATTAGTCTGAACGAAAACATTTTCTGTTGTGAATTAAGACGCTGACAGGTGCACGCAGTAAAAATTTCGTCTAAAAAATATGGTTCCAGTATTCCCCGCTTTGCGTAGTGCACACAATATGGATGCTGTTTACACAATTTTAACACGGGATTTGTTTTAAATTGTTTAAAATTTGAATAAGTTGATTTTGATAAGGAAAATACACATTTGTGGTAGGATTATGATTATTTGAAACAGTTTACATCGGAAGTTTGAATGATTGTGCATGTTTATTGTTTTTCATTTTGCTATGGATTTTTAAATAGATATCTTTAGACGTTAAAGCGGATTTGACCCATGTAAAAAATAGCTTCAAATCCGCGGTTACGTCTAAATATTTGGACTAGGTGGTCCCCAACCAGTATAATGTTAACTATTACAAAAAATACAATTGCCATAATTCTACAACGTACCTTGTCCACTCATATTAAGAGGTAATAACTTGTTCTTCCTTATACTTAATAAATATCTAAAAAATTTCCCTTGTTTTGTTTTTGATGACCTAATCTCATCTGACTCAGCAAACGATTTCCCAATATTTATCGCAACGTTTCGGTACAGTAGGCTCTGATTAAAGGGTAATCCCCGCAGTATCCCGAATGTTCGCATAAGATTCAATGTCAAGCAGACGCTTGAATACAATTTTTTGTAAGTTGTTATTTCATTAAAATTATAAATTGACATACATCAAGGTCCAGAGAAACGTATTGAAAAATGTTTTATATTTTTCAAAGTGTTTAAGACTTCAAGCTTTCTTTTTTAAATTATTCAGAACATTTTATTTTATTCGAGTAGAAGCCGGTGGGATAGTGCTCGGATGTTTACATGTATCAAGATATTCCAAGGACATTTCCAGGCCCGTGTTAACTAAGAAAATGTCAGGATCAGATGATCCTGATATCATTGCTTTACGAAAGTAGAATTGATCTTATTTTGTTTTGTTTTTTGCATTAAGACCAGATTTCTCATCACCGATGTACATGCAGTGGCATGACAATAGCAGGTGATTAAAGGTCTATTGCTACATGTAAAATGGCAAGTTTGCATTTGATACTGCAGCTTGTGGTTTTGTATTAGGTGGCACAACTTCGGTTGATTGGAGTTTTCGGCTTTAATTGAATTAAAGCTGTGACTGGATTTAGCTGCCAATACCCTGACTGAAGCCAAGTGGAGTGGCCCTACATAGTAGGTGGGTATGAGGTGGAAGAGTATTAGACTCTGTGTGCCCCTTATATACAGTGATGGCTTTAAAGGCAGACCCTTTGTTGGCACCAATAGCCCTTATTGGGACTATATCCATGATTTATGTCACCGGATAATCAGGGCTGGAAAATTGAACTTGTTTGCTGGTCATGATGAGTAGACTTGGATTGGTATTATTGCAGGTCATCCTGCAGCCCATACAAGCTTTCATCAAATAGAATCTCCAAAATTAATATACTATACAATAACATTTTGAAAGTGGGCAAAAATATGCAAATCAACTTGACTCTTGCTGTGTTAAGAGTGTTTTTGCAAATATCGCTACTTTAATATCCAGCTACAAATCACTGATGAATAAAGAAACATTTTACCACTGATATTGTTTTTGTGGAAAAGGGCAGCCCTTTATTTTGCCTCTTTTTATACAAAAGATCATCACTTGTTTTATAGATGTAAAAACTTACTGCTTTACAGTAGCTTCATTTTTATAAACATAAATATGTATGACATCATGGATATAATAGATAGTGATTTCCAACAGGCTACTGACGTCAATGAAATTATTGACTTTGTGGTAGATATACATGTAGATGGTTTTAAACTATTACAACACTTAATAATTAACAATTGCTAATGAAGGACACAACACTTCTTAAAAGGAGATGCATAATTATAAGTGTTACTGTGGTCATCTTTATAAACTGGTTTACTCCATGTACCAGCCCGCAAATAAAAAATATGTCTAACACCTCTTACATGCATATTGGGAGTGTAGGACAAAAGCCCTCCTGTCCAAAAGTGACAAGGTGGACAAAAGCGTTCCAATGAAACTGACAGGGCGAACAAAAGCCCTCCAGTGAAAATGACAGGGTGGATAAAAGCCCTCCTGTGAGAATAAATGGGCCGACAAAAACCCGCATGCAGTAAATATATTTATGTATGTTAAATACCTTGTTTTTTTCTTTTCAATGCACTGAACATATTTAAATTGTAATCGTGAATATTTTTGATTTCCATTGGCATAGGCATGTTGTATGACCTTGAGCACACTTATGGCGTATTCCGGAACATCTGAATAAAAAATGCTTAAATCTCATGCATTTACAAATTTTAGCATTTAATTATTCAGATGCCTGTCTGGAACGTTCCAGAATACAGCATAACTGTGTTCATATATACAAAATTTGGCCAATTATAATATGTTGAGTGCATTGAAAAAAAACAACAACAAGTATTTAACATACATATATATTTTTGTCAGGGAGGTATGTCCGCCCTGTCGTGTACATGGGAGGGCTTTTGTCCACCTTGTAATTTTCACAGGAGGGATTTTGTCCACCCTGTCATTTTCATGGGAGGGCTTTTGTCTTCCTTGTCATTTTTGAATGGGAGGACTTTTGTCCTGGATGGCTTTTGTCCTTTTCCCATATAATGCACCAGGTGGTATGAACATTCTGAATAAAGGTCAAACAACATAATAGTTGGCATCATTGGTACAATTTGGCATCATTGATCCCTTATTCATCTTATTTCAAACATACATGCAATAAAATCTCTACTATCTTCAACAATAATAATATCAGAGTTCACATATTATCCCTCAGATATTCAGTATTCAATTAAAGAGTTATTTAAGTTATTATGATCATTTTGTTGATGTGTGTTACATGCTGATATAATGATGTTGATTTGGTATGTAAAACTGTTCATTATATTAGTTATTTTTTAAAAATATTTTCAGATGATGAGTACCTGTATACTGCGGCAAATTGTTTTAAGAAGTGGATATAGAGTTCGATTTCTTCCATTAATTCAGACGGCTTGTCAGAGAGCAACAGATATAAAGTGTACTTGCCATCAAACACAGAATCAGTGTTACAGTTCTGAAAATTATCAGCAAAATAGGCATTTTAATACATCAAACATTCAAAGAAATGCTAAAGTTCAAAAATCTTTTGATACATATTACGCAGCTGTTATAGAGGCTCACAAGTTAGATGAGAAATTAATATCATATAAATATAGTCAGACATCTGACGATGAAACAGAACGCAACATTGAGATAAGAAGATGGATGTTTATTGAAGCAGTTGATATTTATAAGCAGAAGAGTGAAACTGTTCATCACTCGGGTCTTAGAAGAGGACATATTGAGTTTATTACTCAAGCTTTAAGTAGAATGAAAGATCTTGGTGTGCACAGAGACCTTGCCTGTTACAAGGCATTAATACAGGTGTGATCTTTATATATTGTTTGATTTCAAAACTTTTGTAGCTCACCTGAGCTAGCTCAGGGTGAGCTTTTAGGGTCGTTGAATGTCCTTCGGATTTCGTCCGTCCACATTTCTTCGTTAACACTCTAGTGGTCACATTTTTGCCTCAGTCATCATCATACTTTGTCAGGATGTTTGTCTAGGTAATTGTTCGGATGAGTTTAAACATGGGTCATCTTGGATGAAAAACTGGGTCACAGTAACTAAAAATAGAAAAATATTTTGTTAACACTCTAGTGGCTACTGTTTTGATCCATATGTCCTGGAATTTGTTTTTAAAGTTTTTTTTTTATGATTTACAGGTCAAGTTCGAATATGGGTCACCTGGGGTCAAAAAATAAGTCACACTGCCCAAATATGAAAAAACCTTGTTAACGCTCTTGTGGTCACATTTTTAATCAATTGTCATCAAACTTGGTCAGGATGCTTGTCTAAGTAATTGCTCAGATGAGTTCTATGGGTCAGGTGAGCAATCTAGGGCCATCTGGGCCTTCTTGTTTATGTCCCCAGCACTTTGGGAGATATAGATTTGTCATTGTCTGTCACATTGTCCAGATATAGACAGGTATGTGTCATGTGTAACTAAAAAGTATAATATTAAAGTCAAGAAACTGTAAGAACACTTGCCAGCATGTAAACTTTTATATCTAGGTATTTTCACACAAACTTATTGGAGATTGACCAAGACATGCTGCCTGATTTAGTGAACAAAAAACAAGAAAAAATCAATCATTTTTAGAATTGTATTTTATGGAACTCTAAAAGTATAACTGCAAGAGACGTGACGCTTTTAAAGATATTTGTCATATGAATTAAAGCACCATAGTAATTTGTTGTAAAGTCAGTTGAGATTGGTAGAGTAATAACTGCTGTGTGTATATACAGCAATTATGCAAGATTTAGGCATCAATTTTTTTTTTACCCCTGTGTTGGGGCCAATTTTATTAGTGCTGTCATAAAAAAGCTAAAGAAAAGCTTAAGATTTAATATTAAGCATTCAAATTCTATAAATGAAGCTATATATTTCAGGTGTTTCCAGAAGATATTATGGTTCCTACAACTGCATACCAAGTAGAATTCTATCACTATCCTGTACAGCAAGATAAAGCCAAAGATATCCTTGAGCAGATGGAGGAAAATAGTAAATTTGTTTTTTAATAATTCATAATACTAACCAGTCTTAGAAACTTTACTTAATCACAGTCTGTGTGTCAAGTACCAGGTTTACCATGATTCCCGTTAACATAATCCTCTTTTTGCTTACAAGACATCATATGAATAACATATCTATTTGATTTCTTACCTCTCACCAATGAAATCAGTAGAGGTATAATGAAATGGTATATTATCTCGACTTTGTCCTTCAGTCAATCTGTTCTTCCATCTCTACGTACAGAGCTATAACTTAGAACATATCTGTCCAATTTTCTTAAAAAGGGGATGAGGATCACCAAGTTTCATTAAAATCCGTGTTATATCCTTCTGTTATTTAAAAAGGGTATTTTTTAAGGAAAATTACTTTAATCTTAAACCATACTTTACAAATGGTCAATGATATTGTAGTAAAACTCGGCAAGAATGTTTATAATACTAAAGAAGTGATTTTCATCAAATATTATAAAACTTTTGATATGCATTTTTGAATTAAGATCTATTTCAAAAGAAGACATTTGTGGTGGCATGGTTAACACATCAGACTAGTGATTGAAGACTCTCTGGCGGTGTGTGTTCAAACCCTGTCAGGGGCAACCTATTTTTTTCCTTGAGCAAGAAACTTAAACTCATTGCTCAACTGGTTGGTTAAGAGAGTGTCTATCAGCTTATAGCTTCCTACACAATTGAACTAAGATAAATTCTGTATAAACTAAAAAAAGGCATTTTGAAGAAAAATCACTATTTTAAACCATTATTTTAGAGGTGTAACGATTCATCGATGCATCGATACATCACGATCTGCCCTGTCCTTGATGTATGCATCGTAATGAATTTATGAATTCCAATATATCAGGATGCAATACATATTTCACCACCCGATTCATCGATAAAGCGGGAAAGTATCGCAATACACTAAGAGTTATGGTATAATGAAAAATACCTTTAATCCTTAAGTAAAAAGTAAAAATCCTTTAGCAATAAGTAATGTAAATTGTTGAAAGATCAAAACTTGAAAATAAGTTATAATAACAAGTTGAAGATTTTATTGTTTTGTTATTGTAAAAGTTTTATATTACATTCGTAATTATGCTGTGAACAAATGACCAAGTTTTTAGCTCACCTGTCACAAAGTGACAGGGTGAGCTTTTGTGATCGCTTTTCGTCCGGCGTCCGGCCGTCGTCCGTCCGGCGTCCATCCGTAAACTTTTGCTTTAAATGACATCTCCTCATAAACCACTGAGCCAATTTCATCCAAACTTCACAGGAATGTTTCTTTGGTGGTCACCTTTAAAAATTGTTCAAAGAATTTAATTCCATGCAGAACTCTGGTTGCCATGGCAACCGAAAGAAAAATCTTTAAATATCTTCTTTTAAAAAACCATAAGAGCTAGAGCTTAGATATTTGGCATGAAACATCTTCTAATGAGTGTCTACCAAGTTTGTTCAAATAAAAGCCCTGGGGTCAAAATTGGCCCCGCCCCAGGGGGTCATTGATTTTCCCTATATGCATATAGTAAAAACTTTAAAAATCTTCTTTTAAAGAACCAAAAGAGCTAGAGCTAAGATATTTGGCATGAAACATATTCTAGTGAGTGTCTACCAAGTTTGTTCAAATAAAAGCCCTGGGGTCAAAATTGGCCCCGCCCGGGGGGGTCATTGACTTTCCCTATATGCATATAGTAAAAACTTAAAAAATCTTCTTTTAAAGAACTGTAAGAGCTAGAGCTTAGATATTTGGCATGAAACATCTTCTAGTGAATGTCTACCAAGTTTGTTCAAATAAAAGCCCTATATATATGCATATAGCATATAGTAAAAACTTAAAAATCTTCTTTTAAAGAACCCAAAGAGCTAGAGCTAAGATATTTGGCATGAAACATCTTCTAGTGAGTGTCTACCAAGTTTGTTCAAATAAAAGCCCTGGGGCCAAAATTGGCCCCGCCCCAGGGGGTCATTGATTTTCCCTATATGCATATAGTAAAAACTTAAAAAATCTTTATTTTAAAGAACCCAAATAGCTAGAGCTAAGATATTTAGCATGAAACATGTTCTAATGGGTGTCTACCAAGTATGTTCAAATAAAAGCCCTGGGGTCAAAACTGGCCCCGCCCCGGGGGTCATTGATTTTCCTTATATGTGTATAGCAAAAACTTAAAAATCTTCTTTGAAAAAACCCAAATAGCTAGAGTTTAGATATAAAGCATGAAACATCTTTAAGTAAATATCTACAAAGTTTGTTCAAATAAAAGCCCGGGGGTCAAAACTGGCCCTGCCCCAGGGGTGTCATTGTTTTTAACTATATGTGTATAGTAAAAACTTAAAAAATCTTCTTTTAAAAAAACCAATGAGCTAGAACTTAGATGTTTAGCATGAAACATCTTCTTATGGGTGTCTACCAAGTCTGTTCAAATAAACAAATAAAAGCCCTTGGGTAAAAATTGGCCCATGGGGGGGGGGGCTATATACAGGTGAGTGACCTCTGGGCCATCATGGCCCTCTTGTTTTATATAGATAAAGTCTGAAAGTCTGTATTGTGATATGTATTGCATCGAAACATAAAAATCGCAATATGCATCGCATTTTATCAAAGTATACAATACATATAGAACAATCGCATCGTCTGGAAATGCAAGTATCGTGATATGTATCGTGACAGAAAAAAATGGCAATGCACAGCCCTACATTATTTACCAGTATTATAGCTTACATAAAATTGTTTCTTCTTTATCTATACATGTATTATCTATAATAATATAATAATTAATATTCACATTTACATCAGCAGTCCATTTCTGTTTTAGTACATTGCAGTAAAATGTAAGAAATAGCACTCAGTACTTGAGACCTTATGGCATTATCATATATTTCTGAGTTATATCCCTTTGTTATCAGAATGTAGTGAAACTCAGCTTGAGATTTTACCTTAAATAGGAAATGATTCTCAAAAATTGTACCAAAGTCTCATAGTGAATTTTTTAATTATGGCCATATGAAGTTTAATAAAGTCATTTTCCGCCAGTCTTATTGTGCTAGATAATATTATGTCTTAGTGTGAATGTGTATTTCAGTAAGGAAATGATTCACATGATAAAATTTCTTTCATGTGACAAAGCTATTTATCTAGCTTATGGAAACGTTTGTGGTTCTAATCTGGTACCTAACCAGCTGGGGTCACTTGATTTTATGTAGAGTCATACAAGGAAAGCTTTAAAATCTTCTTCTTACACACCCAAATATCTTGCCTTTAGATATTTTGTGTGAAGCATTTTCTAGCAACATTTATCTAGTATGCTAAAATCATGACCCTGGAGTCAAAATTGGCCCTCTCCAGGTTCACTTGATTTGATTTTACATGCATATACATGTATAGTCATAATAGAAAAACTCTTTATGTAACTTTTTTCCATTCTATCAAAGAACCAGTTTAATACCCGGTTCTATTTTAAACCATCAAAAGGTTGCTAGTAAGTCTACATAATCCTGCTAATGTTTGCCAAAATAATGTTTTGTGTTTGAATTCTTGTGATATTGTTATTTAAAACTTTTAAAGCCAAATGCATGCTAATTTTCATGAAAATTTTGAAAATGTATTTGAATGTGTAATATTGTGAAGTAGCCAAAAGGAAGCAATTTACATATTATCAATGACACTTACAAACCACTTAAATTACCAAAAAGTGGTAAAAATATGCATAAATAGTCTTTACTGCATTAGTAACGGAGTAGAAATATAGTTGTAAATATTGAAAATTCGGTCATTAATATTTAAAATATTACTTGAATCTTGAATTTTTTTACTTTTCCTTACACCTTAGTACATTTTGCTCAAGTTTAAATTTTATTGAGATATTTTGACTCATCTGGATGCATGTAGCTTTAAGTATGAAAAGTGGTTTAATTTTTTCATTTATCTTGTTTTAAGCTTTAATACCTGATCAAGAAACCCGTGATCTGTTGGAAGCGAGGTTTGGAAAACAGACACATGTGATACGGAAGGTTAGACGAATGATCTACTGGATGAGGAAGTTTCAAAATGCCAACCCGTATAAATTACCACACCATCTACCACTAGATCCTATCAAATTAGCAATCCTAGCACTAAAGAAAATGTCAGTGGATCTTGAAAATGAAATAAAAGTATTTAAGGTAATTTCTTTTGTTGATATTGAGGTGTTCTGAAGGTTTGATGTCTAGAGTATCTCCTTGACCGTTGGTGTAGGTAAATATCATAGAATATTCATAGGTCATGTCGGGGTATATGGTTTAAAATAAGCAGATACTTCATTGTACAGTCTTCTGATGATATGAAAAATTAAGAAACTAGCATTGTTTCTTTTTGTAACACCCAACTGATATACAGCTAAATGATTAATTTATACAATAAATCTTTTATCCAATTATATCACTAGATTGTGCTCAGTAGATATGTTTTGTAAATACTAATTCCTCAAATGCATTGATTATTTTACCCATACTAGGCTAAATATCTTGAATTGACATCTCCATCTTTCAATATGGATTAAATCATTTATCATTTTTAGGGAAAATTTAAAAAATAATTTGACTGAATAGCCTATACTGCATGCCCACTTTAGATTGCACAGATGTGTTGGCTGATTGTGGTAATATGGGTATATTAAGTTGCAACCAGTACAGTGATGGTTAAGCAATTATATATCATTTATGAATTGTATGAAAAATTATAAATAAATTTATATACTGAAAGTATAAACTGTTCATTATTTCCTTAAAAGATGCTGTTGTAATTAGTATTATATGTTTTTTTATTTGGTTTACAGCCAATAAGAGATACAGTTAAACCAAATCAATTAACAGAATTGTGAAGTCTCCTTTGAAAAAGAGTTGTTATATTGATAAAAATCTGACTATCTATGAGACTAAGAGAATATCACTATGCTCGTGTGATCAATTTAGATAAACTTCTGATAAATTCACAGGTAACAGATGATAGAGAGAAGATCTTTATAGCCTCAGCACAGAGTCCACTCCAGAGAGAAATGATCAAGAAACATCCTGAGTCTGTGCCCTTGTATGTAGAGGGAGGTTTTCCTATTTGGCTTCGGGACAAAAGATTGACACACTTCATACTAAAGGCAGATAGTGATCCCAAACTGTTTAAATATCCAACTAAAGAAGAGCAGGATGAGGAAGGTTAGGGTCAATACTTTCACTACCTTTAACATTTCACTACCTTTAAAATAGAATTATGGAAAAATACTTTCATTTGCCTAGAGAATTGTGGAGATGGACTAAAGTTCCTCAATCCAACAATGACAAGATGGACAAAAGCATCTTGTCTTACAGGAAGCACAAAGCCATTCTCATCATGTTTTCAAGTCAGATGAAAATAGCTTTCCTGTTGCAAATACATTTGTATGCGTGCTTAAAAGAAGCAATGCATTTCATTCATATAATCCATATTTTTGTTTGGCAAAAGATAAAGTTCTTAGAGTAAAGTTAAGTTTTTGAAATTATAATTGCTTCTTTGCTGTGCTTTGATTTTTGTTGTAAGACTTAAGTAGTACATGTACATGAATAATGTAAAATAGTTAAAATTGGAACTGAAAGCTTTTATTATACCTTTATACTAATATCTCTCCTCTGTAAAATTCTATCCACTTGTGGCTGAGGAGTTGCCTTTAAGTGTTGAGACAGAATTGCAGTCAGCATAGATCCTGCATGATCATAAAATGGCAACTAAATGGGTTTAAATTACTGCAGTTATAAATCAGATTAGCCAAAATCATCTTTCTTGTTTCGGCGCCACATGACCTAAATTGTGTTGGCGCACCATAAAACCAAACAAAAAAATGTAAAATTCTGCATTTTTTTGTAAGAATTAGATTTTAATTTAACATTTATGTATGGATTCAACTCCCTCTTATGTAGTCTCGAAGAAAATGTGTACCTTTAAAGAAACACTTTTCTCCACCATTACTCTGAAATAACAATAAGTTGTAGAAAATAATCCTTATATAAAATGTCTTTTAAGTAGACAATGTTGTAATTCTTATCAAGAAGGCTTTTGAAACAAATATTTTTTGCATGGTGATTCTTCTAATTACAACTTAATGTGAGTTTAAGTACCTGTATGTAATGGTTTCATTGATATGTGGTCTTTCACAATAACGAATTAACTACAATGTATATCTATATTTGTTTTCAGACTTGGAGTATCTCGTGTTTTCATGTCTTTCTCTCAGAGATGGTTTTTGACACTATTTAAGTGTACAATAATTAACTACAGTGTATATCATTATTTGTTTTCAGACTTGGAGTTTGAGACTATATTTGACAGCGAGGAACCATCATCACTAGCACCTATGCCAAATGTTCATCAGCAAGATGATGGGACTATCCTAGGCATGTGTATAACTGAAACAAGTACAAAAGACTCTCTAATCAGTTGGATACGATGTCTACAGGAAGACAATCCTAGCCTTGATAAAATACCAATAGTGTTTGCTTTAAAACAAGCAGAAGAAGGCGTTATTATGCCTGTAAATGAAGAGAAGAGTAATGAACATCAAACACAACCTGGTCAATGATAAACACTTAAATTAAAGTTAATTAAAGAATTGTAAAATTGTTTTTTTTTAAATAAAATAAAGTGGTTTGGTGACTTGATTTTAGTTTTTTCTTCTTCAATCTGTTGTTCTGACAAAAACTTTGATTATTAAGGCAGGCTGGCATATGTCTCCATGCAAGCTGAGGGTTGTCTGGCTGGTTGTAAACAATTGTTAAGTTTGCAACACCTATATGGTTTGGGACTTCAATCAAACATCCAGAGTTGTCATTTACTTTTTCTGGTGCATCTAGTAACATTTCATGATTTGCAGACTTTTTTTTTGTGCCCCACTTAAGTTGGATTACTCAGTGACAAGGTTTTGTCCATTTATGCCACCTCTTCCTTTTCTGGGTCAACATAGAAATAATTTGGCACAAATGCTTACTATAGTAAGACAATGTGTCATGCACAACACCCAGACCCTTGTCACATTAAAAGGTCAAAGCTTAACATGGTATGTTATAGAGATTTTTTTGTGTTTGGTTCACAACCTTTCCATTTATCAAAGGATTTTGAGATAAGTTTTCACAAATATTCACTATATTAAGAAAATGTGTCAACACACAGACCCCTACCACCAATGTCAACATCATGATAATAAGTCAAAGCAAAACATGGGCTGTATTTTTATTGTCCAAAAGAAAGATTCCAGTGAACATTTAAAAAATAAAAACAGTGTGAGTGCGTGCACAGCAAAGGAACTTTAACTCATTCTTAAATAATTTTAAATCATAACCAAATGAACTTATTTTCTTAGTTATAAAAGCTGCTCAAATATATTTCTATCGACACATACACAAGAGTTATTTCATTATGTTTCTAAAGATGAATTTGATGAACTCATTGTAACATGTGCATTTAGCATTTATCAAGATTTTGCATTGAAAGTCCAGATCCATAGGTAAAACGTAAAACTTCCTTTTGGCAGAGGAAGTTAGTAACTTTGTTACAAATTCTTGTTAGTTATAATACTATTAATATGTATATGTAAATATGTATTATTTATATAACACTTCACTAAAAAATATTCATATGTAAACATATATGTGACTAAGACAGCAAATAAAGTTAGGTGGGTGGAGTGGGGCGCTTTATTGTCTTGTGGACACATGTCTAGTTGAAAATGTAGTATTAGCAGAAAACCTGGTTTTATGGCAATTTTCTGTAACTTAGTTACCTAAGATTATGCTCAATTAAATATGTATTGTATAGGTTGCAGTTAAATTTTCTAAAGTTTGAAGAATTTAAATGTTTGACAAATTTGTATAACTTTGTACCTAAGATTATGCTCGATTAAATATGTATTGTATAGGTTGCAGTTAAATTTTCTAAAGTTTGAAGAATTTAAATGTTTGACAAATTTCCCTAAGATTATGCTTAATTAGTCCCCTACCGGTTTACCGGAGGGGACTATAGGTTTACCCTCCGTCCGTCTGTCCGTCTGTCTGTCAGTCCGTCCGTCCACAAAACTGGATCCCGCGATAACTTGAAAAGTACTGAAAATATTTTTATGAAACTTGGTATATGGATAGATGGCAGTATGGAGATTATGCACGTCTTTTTCTTTTCTTCCTATGTTGAAAATTCTGGTTGCTATGGCAACAAATAGGCTGAAAATATGGCAAATTTTACACATAAACTGGATCCAGTGATAACGCAAAAAGTACTGGAAATATTTTTATGAAACTTGACATATGGGTAGATGGCAGTCTTGGGATTATGCACATCTTTTTCTTTTCTTCCTATGTTGAAAATTCTGGTTGCTATGGCAACAAATAGGCTGAAAATATGGCAAATTCTACACATAAACTGGATCCAGTGATAAAGCAAAAAGTACTGGAAATATTTTTATGAAACTTGACATATGGGTAGATGGCAGTCTTGAGATTATGCACGTCTTTTTCTTTTCTTCCTATGCTGAGAATTCTGGTTGCTATGGCAACAAATAGGCTGAAATGGCAAATTTTACACATAAACTGGATCCAGTGATAAAGCATAAAGTACTGGAAATATTTTTATGAAACTTGACAATTATGGGTAGATGGCAGTCTTGAGATTACGCACGTCTTTTTCTTTTCTTCCTATGTTGAGAAGTCTGGTTGCTATGGCAACACATAGACTGAAATATGGCAAATTTTACACATAAACTGAACCCAGTGATAACTCAAAAAGTACTGGAAATTTTTTTATGAACTTGACATATGGGTAGATAGCAGTCTTGAGATTATGCATGTCTTATCTGTTCTTCCTATTTTGAAAAAATATCAGTTGCCTTGGCAACAAATAGGCTTAAAACATGGCAAATATAACAATATTTGTGATTAGTCAAAAAGAGCTTCAAGAGTTATCTCCTCTTTAAGAATTTTGCTTTTAAAATGTTATATTTTGGTAACAGGGATGTTTCAAATATTAACTTTAGATTCAAGAGTTATCTCCTCTTTAAGAATTTTGCTTTTAAAATGTTATATTTTGGTAACAAGGATGTTTCAAATATTAACTTTAGAGTGTCCTTCAGTCTGTCTGTCTGTCTGTTCATAAAAACTGTTTCCTGTGATCACTTTTAAAGAACTTTTCCAACAAGTTTACTTAAAATAGAGAAAATTGAAACATTAGTGAATGGCCAATGGCCCTTCAGAATGTTGATGGGGTTCTAACCGGTAGGGGACTTATGGATTGCTTGCAATACTATGATAATTGCTTGTTAAATATGTATTGTATAGGTTGCAGTTAAATTTTCTAAAGTTTGAAGAATTTAAATGTTTGACAAATTTCTTGTTAAGTCAAGATTTGAACACTTTGTTGCACACAGAGCACAATTTGCACAAGGTGAGCCATTGTTATATCTCGCTGTCTGAGTCTACCCACACTTTTCTTTAAACAACATTTGCTTCTTAAAACCACTTGGCCAATATCATCAAAACTTACAGTAAAGTTCCTAGGGGATCCTCTTTCAAAGTTGCATAGTAACCAAACAGAAAAAAACTATAAAACTCTTCTTGTTAAAAATTGTTGGCGAGATTATATTTACAGTATATTTACAGATATGATCATAACATTGTTCAAATATTTTTGAATTAAAAAAAAAAACATTGTTGCTAGTAGAGAGGGCTTTCTATTTTCCCTATAATTATGTTTATGAAGGATACTTTGAAAAGTTGGGTCAGTTGCAAATAGAACTTCCAGCTGTCTGCTTTTAGTTTTTGCTAACATCTATTTTCGAACATTATGCTTCATAAGCCTTCAACTTTAAATACAAAAATTGTATTCTATTGAATATATCAAAATTTTATATTGTCAGTTCTTGATTTCTCCTGTTTTCTTTTGTCTGTAAAACTTCTGAAATTTATACTTGCTCCATATCATTTTTGTGTTTTTCATTAAGTTATATTTACAAAGCAAATAAAGATACTTTGAAACAGTTTTGTGTATTTTTAGTGCCCCTAAGCACAAAGTTCTGAAAGGTGGGCTTTGCGGTGGATGTCATCCATTGTTATCCGCAATTTCTGTGTAAAAGCTGTGATTATTTATTAACTTTGTTCTTTTTTTTTGTTTTTGGGGTTTTTTTTGTGGTTTTTTGGCTAACCTGAGCACTAAGTGCTCTAGGGAGAGCTTTTGGAAACACACTGCATCTGTCATGCATTGTTAATAGTGTCAAACCTTTTCTTAAAACAACATCTGCTTCTGTACCAATAGGCCAATATTGTTTTAACTGAGCAGGGATGTTCCTGGCATGAAGCTCTTTAACAAGAGCTGTCACAGGAGACAGCGAAGCTCGACTAGTGAAATACTGGACGCAGTAAGGAGGACAAAACTATGAAAGAAAAATCAATTATGTATAATTATGTATTAAGTTAAACTAAAAAAACAACATTTGTTAACATAAATTTCAAGATCAAGGGGAATACTTCTAGAAGTAGTCACGCTAGAGTTATGAACCTTGTTACAAAACGTGTGTAATGATAAGAAATATACATTTGAAGTTTGAAGAAGATACCTTAAAAAGTAAAGAAGTTATAATATTTCTAAAGAAAATCCTAAGTTCAAAGAAAGATAAATCTGTAAATATTGCTTCAAGAGTTATGAACATTGTCACATGAAATGTAATTGATGATAAGGGATAAGTATTTGAAGTTTGAGGTAGATACCTTTAAAACTAAAAAAGTTATAGTAAAACATAACATTTTTCTAGTAAAAAAGTCTAAGTTTATGGTGAGATAATTATTGCAATATTGGTGCTAAAGTTATGAACCTTGTCACATAAGATGTGGATGATGATAAGGTACATATATTTGAAGTATGAAGTTTATCCATTCAGAAATAAATAAGTAACAGTAAAAAATAATATTTTTTAAGGAAAATTCAGGGTTCAAGGAGAGATAAATCTGAAAAATATTGGTGCTACAGTTATGAACCTTGTCACATAAGATGGGGATGATGATAAGGTACATATATTTGAAGTATGAGGTTGATCCCTTAAGAAATAAAGAAGTAACAGTAAAAAATAATATTTTTTTAGGAAAATTCTAAGTTCAAGGGGAGATAAATCTGAAAATATTGGTGCTAGAGTTATGAACCTTGTCACATAAGATGGGGATGATGATAAGTTAATTATATTTGAAGTATGAGGTTGATCTTTTAAGTAATAAAGAAGTAACAGTAAAAAACAGTATTTTTTAAGGAAAATTCTAAGTTCAAGGGGAGATAAATCTGAAAATATTGGTGCTAGAGTTATGAACCTTGTTACATAAGATGTGGTTGATAATAAGGAACATATATTTGAAGTTTGAAGATGATATCTTAAGAAATGACAAAGTAATTGGGAAAAATATTTTACTGCACCAAAACTTTAATCTGGACGCCGACGCCGGGGCTCTCCATATACAATGTACTTCGTATACAATAGTCGAGCTAAAAATTGTTCCATATCAACCGGTGACCTCTAGCAACCAGTGACTTTTCATAGCAACCAGTAACAGATATTGCAACCATTGACTTTCAATAGTAACTATTGACTTCCATAGCAAACAATTTCTTTCCATAGCAACCAGTGACTTCCATA